GAACATTTTAAACATATCTTTTCTATTGCAGAAAAGTTGGAGATGTCAAAAATATACACTTCCAGCAGGGCAGAGGAAAGCGTCGTCTCAGTCCAGATCTGGGGCACCCTGGGATTAGCTGGAGGTTTTCAGAGAACAGTGAAGCAGAGAGGGCTCCCCATCGGGACAGCCAGGGGCCAACATTTTTTAGAGAGCTATATCTGATATTTTTGGACACGGTTTCCTCCACAAGACAGACTTTATTGCGCTCAAACTCATTAAATCCATAATTAAAACAGTAAAATATGTAATAACCTTGGTAATTGACACACACCCATAGTACATTCAAATGAGCTTGGAAGGCAAAGACATTATTATTGCAATGTCAAACCTCATGATCATAAATGGCAGCACACTCACTTTTGCTTTGCATATTAAAGGTCCTACGTTACACAAAATTGTCAACTTTATGTTATAATAGGGTCAGTCCATATGAAATCAGCTGCCCTCCCCTATGAGCCGTCTCAGATTTGGCTGAAAATTTTTCAAAAAATTTCTTAAATCACCAAATGAAAGAATCTCAAATTTTAACTCAATCCCTTCAGTCGTTCCTGAGTTATGGCCCGTTGAAATTTTGGGGCCATGTTCACTTTTTCTGGAGCCTTAATTTATAAACATGTTTGAGAGACCAGAACTTCATACAAAATAGAGCTAGAAAGCTGAATTAAGTCTATTAAAGATAATTGAACCTTGCCAGCAGGTGGAAAAGTGCCTAAGCTCCACCAAAAAATGACCCGTGAGAGCTCATTTTCAAAAATTCTGTTTGAAATGAAGGAAGTTAATAGTAGATGTTTTTATTACTTTAAACTAATCAGAATATGCCAAAGTTTGTCTGGTAAAAATTTTGTCAACATCTAACTGTGTCCACATGGGGAACCGAGGCTCCAAAGATGGGGCCAAAAAGATCACATTTGGTCTGTGACCATATTTGGGGATCTACACCATCCACATGAAAACTCAGAAAAGTGTGAGATTGTTGTCAGAAATGGATATTCTCTTAAATATTCAGGTTCAACAGTTAGTTTGTAAATATCTGCTTGGAGTAAAGAGATCTTGGACCTCAAAAACTGAAAAAAAAATTGAGCGGCAACCAAATGTGAGATTTTGGGGGCCCACAGCGCCCACCTTAATAATGACAACAGATTCAGAATCTATGACCAAGAATCTACATTAATACAAATTTTCAGCTTCCTAGCTCTATTTTCTTTGAAGTTCTGGTCTCTCAAACATGTTTATAAATTAAGGCTTCAGAAAAAGTGAACATGGCCCCAAAATTTCAACAGGCCATAACACAGGAACGACTCAACTGACTGAGCTAAAACTTGAGATTCTTTCATTTGGTGATTTTAGACATTTTTAGACATTTTTTCAGCCAAATCTGAGATGGCTCACAGGGGTATTCCTTAAAAACGGCTGATTTCATATGGACTGACCCAATATTGTTTCATCATCACAAAGAGACCTGGAGTTGTGTTTTATTTATTAGGGCCTGTTTACATGAAAACACTTGCGGGTAAAAATGACAAAATATTTTATAGGACGTGCCTTTCTTTTAGGCGGTGGTGGCATTTTTGGGGCTTAAAAACGCAAAAATCTGAAAACAAATTTGAACACGCTCAGATCTGCTCCATGTTTATGTCACATACATACAGTACACAGAAACAAACATGTCAGATGGCAGCATACACAATCGAATTCCACACACTTTTGCGTCACCATATGCATGTGGATTTACTCCCAAAAACACTCATCTAAACACAGAATAAAAACTGATGACACAACGCCACTTTTGCGTCTTCTATTCAGACCGTCATCATATAAACGTAGCCTTAGTCTATCTACATCCCCAAATCTCAAAATGCTCGGTTCCACTTTGTGATGTCATGTGGTAGTTTTCAAGTTAACAGCTCCTTTTACCTTTTGTTCAGTAGGGATTCCCAATTCTAGGGCTGAAATGATCCAAATGATTCTAGTGAAGTTTAAAAACACTTTGGAGCACTGTCTGTGTTACGACATGACATCACAAGGTGCAACAGCCTAAAGATGCAGAGTTTGTGTGTTAAACATGTGTAAATGAAACAAAACAACAACTCCAGGTCTGTTTGTGATGAGGAAACCATATTATAACATAGATCAGAAAACAGAGTCATATGGACCCTTTAAGTAGTCAACAAATAACCTAGTAACAGTCAAAAAACTCAACTAAGATCATTCAGAATATTTGTTTTACTTTTTCACATTTTAAAACTTTAATTTTCCCATACAAGACACTTTGCATAACTCATTTGTTCATGTTCTGTAGTTATATTTCACCTTCACAAAGAGCGGTGAGACGTTTTAGGGATGGAAAATGATGACAATACGAATCATCAGGTGGTGGCAAAACATGGGCTCGCAAATGTTCCACAATGTAAGATAAACTGAGAAGTAGGAATGCAGCGATACTGGAATTGAATATCGGTGCTGATACTGAAAAATGAGCTAGATCGGGTATTGGTTCCATGATATCGGTTAAACAGATATCCTAATTGAGCCTTTAACTGGTCGTAATAAAATCTATTTAATTTATTTAGAGGCTGATAGTTAAAGGTGCCCTGTGTAACTTTCTGTTGGAGAGTCTGACAATATGGAGTTAAACTTGTCTATTGCCATGAAAACAAGCCCACAATACCTCCAGGCCAAGTTACAGGTCAGCTCTGTGGAGAGGTGAGCTCATTCAATGAAGGAATGGATTTTTTTCATAGTATTTTTGAGCAAAAAAACAACTGTAACTGAATAAATGCAACATAGATAAATTAAATTCTATACTGAGACACATTTCAGGCAAAGCAATAATATCTCCACGGAAACAAATTTGTGGTTGGACCCCTACCAGAAAAGTGAAGCAGTGCTAGGGGTGTGCAAAAATATTTAAATATCGATATATTGATATCGACGTTTAATGTGATGATACAATATCGATATTGCAGGCTGCTGAGTATTTTTTGGTGTATTTGACAAAATTATTTAGTTACAGTGCTACACTTTTGTTGCTGGCTTAGTGGAAGGGAACTCATTTTTTTCAACACATTTGACATTTTCACAGTTAAAATGGGTGTTTTTCACATTCACTTTGCACAGGAAGTGGTTTAACAGAGACTTTTAGTATCACAGCCACGATTTAGCCTTTATTTCTTACTGAACCATATAGACTTGATTTGAAACATATTGTATTAAATTATATCAAATCAAAAGCGCAGTGTATCGAGATATGTATCATATCGTGGCCTGTGCATCGAGGTATGTATCGTATCGTGGCCTATGTATCGAGGTATGTATCATATCGTGGCCTGTGCATCGAGGTATGTATCGTATCGTGGCCTATGTATCGAGGTATGTATCGTATCGTGGCCTGTGTATCAAGATATGTATAGTATCGTGGCCTATGTATCGAGGTATGTATCATATCGTGGCCTGTGCATCGAGGTATGTATCGTATTGTGGCCTATGTATCGAGGTATGTATCATATCATGGCCTATGTATCGAGGTATGTATCGTATCGTGGCCTATGTATCGAGATATGTATCGTATCGTGGCCTATGTATCGAGGTATGTATCATATCGTGGCCTATGTATCGAGGTATGTATCATATCGTGGCCTATGTATCAAGGTATGTATCGTATCGTGGCCTGTGTATCAAGATATGTATCGTATCGTGGCCTATGTATCGAGATATGTATCGTATCGTGGCCTATGTATCGAGATATGTATCGTATCGTGGCCTATGTATCGAGATATGTATCGTATCGTGGCCTATGTATCGAGGTATGTATTGTATCGGCAACTTCTTAATGATACCGAGCCCTTAGCAGTGCACCTTTAAAGCTAAAGTATTGAAATCAGTATTGGAACTGAAAAAGCTGGACGCCTTAAATAGAACCACAACCACCCACATGAGCCTGTCGACCATCTTCTAAACAGAATCCAGTATATCAATAACTTTAAAATTACGATGTCATTCAAAAGCAACACCTCCTCGCAACTATACTCCAGCCCTCGCACGTAAAGGTGATCTCACTCCTTCAAATCGTCTTACAACACAATACACGATGATGTCACTGTGAGCAGCAACTATCCATGCATTCTAAACAGACACAACTACTTGTAGCACGAATGTGGTTGCCCGCTTCCTTATCAAGTATGTCTAGAGTTTGAAAAAGCTTATCACTAATCACCAGTTTGCATTTTCTGCCTGTACAGCAGCTATCCTCCTGTTGACACCAAGGAACTGAAAAGACTGTTTGATTCATTGAAAGTTTAATAATGGAACAGTCTATAAAACATTTAAAGAGCCCCATTTTCTGATCGATTTTCTAATGTTGTTTTCTCATCACGAACAGATCTGGACTTGTGTTTTGTTTCATTCACACGTTCAACACACAAACCCTGCAGATTTAGGCTGAGTTCTTCTCTCAAATAGAAAACACTTTGTGATGTCATGGGGTAAAACAGAAGGTGCACTGTGTTTTTAAAACTCCGTACACCTGACCTTCACGAGAATCATTTGGATGATTTCAGCTCTGGAATTGCCGATCTCCACTGAACAAAAGGTAAAAGGTAACTGCTGGCTTAAAAACTACTGCTTAATGACATCACAAGGTGCAACAGAGCATTTTGAGCTTTTGAGATGTAGACAGACTGATAATAAAGGCTTACTCAAACATGTGTGAATGAAACAAAACACAACTCCAAGTCTGTTTTTGAGGAGGTAACAAATTCTAACATGGCTTATAGCTCACAAGAATACACTTTGCGTAATATAAGACTTTTAATAATGGAACAGACTTCAAAACATTTAAACCATTGCTCAAACTGTTTGATACTGACTCTTGTGCAACATCGTGATCCATTGATCCGGAGAGACCCACATGCCGTCTGCCCGCTGCCCGCGTTTGGAGCTACAACACTGGGTGAACTTACCTAGCTTTCCTCGGGACTCCTCCAGCTTTTGGATCTGGTTCTCCAAGAAGAACATGGCCACTGCGAACGCCAGTAGCGCCAGCAGCTGCAACTTCGGCGGCATCATGACTCGGAGCAACCCCATCAAATCATCCACGCTAGAAAGGGGATTGGTCACTCCATGCTGCTCTAGACACACGACGCTGCTTACAAAGAAGTGTCAATGCATGGCCCTGTCCAAGCGCGCACACTCCGCTCTGTCTGTACGTCTCCTCCAGGTGCGTAAAATCCACTCGCTACCTTAAAATTCTCATGCTCGTAGTGTTTTATGTCCTTATTCCCAACAAAACGAGCCTGTTGGATGGCCCGGCTTCTCGTAACGTTATTCGCCCGTATTTTCATGCACAGCCGCGGTCCTGTCCCATCCAGTGTGCTTGCCACTGCACTACGCACTGACTGCTGCTGTCCAAATACAAGCGCTCAGGTCATTGGATGTAGCGGGAGTCCACCACAGCGCAAAGCCTCGCCATTCGCCCCCAATCACAGCCTCAGCAAACGGGATTGGACCTTTTTTACCGACACCGGACCATACTTGGACAGCAGAGGGCGCGCTCGAGTGAAAGCGGTGGAGCGTCGTTATTAGTTATTAATAAATATAATGTTTTCCCTTCCTCACACTTATTTGCTACAAAGGTGCAGTAGTGTAGTTATTACACATAGAAGCAAATAAAATGTCCCATATTTTTCTAATTATTACTGAAAAGCGACACACATATTATCTCATGAATATGCAAAGTTCATATTTTTGCACCCTGCTTTATCACCGTTTGTTTGTCATGATTATCAAGTGGGCCTGCCTCATTTAGATATAATACAAATTAGTCTATTTATTTTTTCCCATTGTCTTTTTTTTTTTTTTTTTTTTTTTTTTTTTTTTTTTGAATTGTTAAATATATTGCAATATTTTCTACTGGTATGCAAATTATTATTCAAAATACAAATTATTATTCAAAATACAAACGTGTTTTGAATGCTGTAACTGTAAGTCTAACAATAATTGAGGTATCATTAAAGGCTTTATTATCTAATTGCTATTAATAGAATATTTCACGATTGAATTTTTCAGTAAAATAATGAGAAAATGAGACGACTGCTTTTGTCTTATTTGAATACAGGTTGAAACTAAATCACACTGTAACATTTTCAGAACTGGGAGAATTAATCAGTGTTTATAGAATAAATGAAAGTGATTTTATTTCAGGCGCTCGTTGGGCAGCGCTTTGGCTCCAATAAAGAGGTCCTGGGAGCACTTGGTTGCTAGCAGCCGCCTTCAAAATGTCGGGAGAGGTTTATCTCCTGTGGCTCCTGTCCCTTTTACAAACGGTGAGTTTTAATAGATACATTTATTAGTAGTTTCATTAGTGGACACTTTGAATAAGTCCTGGAGATTATAGCTAAAGGGTTAGTTGTTAGCTGTTAGCCGCGGTGAGCCACATCCGTGTGTGCGGCGTTTACACTGACGTGGCTCATCCTCTGTGTCTGCAGCAACTCTCATTGTTTCATTATACTGTAATATGCAAAATCCGACTGATTTTTACTTGCTCTTCGCCTTTTCTTTGCCCATGGTTATTCTTCACTGTTTCTGGGATGTGAATTAAACACAGGCAATGATTTTCAATGAAATCCTAATGTTATGTTAGGCCTAATGTTTATATGATATATCTGTAGGCCTGTTCTCATGTGTCAGCACATCCTGGACTGGAGCAGTGGATTTCATTTCATATTAAGTGACAACTAAGAAAATATTTTGCATCTGGAGTTCCACCAGATTTAGATCAGGTCTATAACAGGATTATTCAGTATTATTAATAAGGTTTAACTCATAGACTGTATATGTATAAGTTAACATTGCCACAGAATAGTTCCAAATAAGGACTTAACCAACAAGAAGACACATTTGGATGAAGTTGACTTTTGAATTAAGAAATCACTGAGATGCATAGGAGCCAGAGCTTGTACCTCCTGAGGCAGTCCACATATCACAGCTTGAGAATCACTGGGTTTGGCCTGTACAACGTTATGTGCAAAGTTACTTAAGTGACAACAGTGCCCTTGAAAGAAGTATGAATGAATGAATGAATGGGTGGTACCAGTTGTCCATGCTTTAAAGGACGAAAGACAGGAGATTATACTTGCATTGTCCTGAGATTGACCTAAGAACAACTAACAACTAACTTGATGGGTGAGCGTTTCCTGTTTGTTTTATATTGCCTCTTGGCCACGTCGTCATTGTAAATGAGAAGGTCTTCTCAACTGACTTACCTGGTAAAATACTGAATAAATAAATAAAATAAAATAAACGACTACATAGACCATAAGAGTATTGTCTTTTTTTAAAGTCACACAGAAGCCTTCTATACACATTTCTGGTAGTGTACTGGGGAACTTACTAGATATGAAATGCAGGGAAAACAGTTCTGTGCTTTGTTCACACATTACCCTGTTCTGGTAAAATACACGTAAATTCGCGGGTCTGGATGCATGTGTGAACAGGACAATATAACATCAGGTCTTCCTATAGAGTTTGGGGGGGATGTAAAAAAAATACCATGGAAATATACCATGTTTGTGGTAGTTGCGCAAAACTCAAATAGTGATTATTGCTGGCTTTCTGATGCCACCACTCCATATATTTTGTTTACATCTGGCTTTTCCACACGTGCACCATGGCTGGTAGGCAAAAAGTCAGTGGGGCCGCTTGTTTGTGTTGACAGTTGTGTTGCGTATTTCTGTCATGAGATAACTCCTCTTATTTTAAAGTAGGGTTTGCATTTAATTGTTTTGACATGACTTCATCATCTTGCTCTATAAGTCGCTGAATGTTGAGGATCAAAAATGTTAAGTTGAAAAGTTAAAACTCATCTAACTGTTGAAGATGTCGATGTTGTAGTGTTGTATGACGATTGTTGATGTTGTACGGTGATAACTGTTGACGATGTTGATGTTGACTTGTTGATACGGACACTTTTTTTCTTACCAAAATGGCTGATGAGACGTCATTGTGTTTTCTCATATTCTATGGGACTATAATATTTAATATAGGTGGAGGTAGATAAAACTAATACTGTTAAAATGCTGATTATTGTGATAATATAGTGAGTTCTTGGGTCTAGTCACAAATCGAAAAATGATCAGGTTCAACATTTTTTCATTTACCTTTACCACCAATTAGCCAAAACAACATTTAAAAAGTAAAGCGCAGTGGAATAGCATGATAAACTGCTGGGTCACAACTAAATTTACATCTATCATTCTGTAGTGTCTGCAAAGTTTTGAATGAATGCTAAACCTAGTATTTATTATCTTAAAATCTCTACTGGTTTCTATGAGGACTTTACAATCCCAAGCTCTATTGTGTTAGCTTTGTCATCCAATATTGTGTTATCACCTCTCACCCTTGGCTCTAACTTGTTCCGTTTGTGTCTGTGTCTGTGTCTGTGCCCCTGCTGTGCTCTGTCAGCTGTCAGCGTATGGGGCCGAGCTGTCCTCTGAAGCCTGCCGAGAGATGGGCTTCTCCAGTAACCTGCTGTGTAGTGGCTGTGATCTGCTGGGAGAGTTCAGCCTCAACGCTCTGCAGCCTGACTGTCGGAGGTGCTGCCAGCAGGAGGCGCAACTGGAGGGGCGCAAGGTGAGGGGCAGGTGGGAGGGTCACATCCGGTGGTCAGTCTGTCTGTTTAGTGCTTATTCTGCCCCGCCAAGTAACTTGTCTAATCCAATCCACTTGCTTTATATAGCTCATTCTGTTAACATGATATTTTCCGAGAGCTGTACATCAGAGATACACCAACAATGTACATTTTTACACATCAGCTATCAGCCTTAAATCTCAAGCAGAAACCGATATTTTGGTTGGGTCAACCAGCTACTTTAATGATATATGTAAAATTTTATTTGAACACTTCTATGCTATGAAGGAGTTACTGCACAAAATGTGACTGCTCTGCTGTCTTACCCCGTTTATAGTAAAACACATTTGTGGATGAGTTTGTAGTACATTTAAATTACACAATATTGGAGAAAATGATCTAACTTGCCCAAAATTATCAACTCTAAAAATATCAGCAGAGCTTATTGGCCATCAGCTTAAGTCTGGGTTTAGTCTTTGTTTGCTTGTCTGCTCTGGATTTCAAAACGATCTGTATCAGCCATGAAAAACCCATATTGGTTGATTAGAAGCAAAAGTGAAAAAACTAAATATATATTTTTTAAAATAGCTTTGAATTTCCATTTCCTCTTGATTTGGAGCTGTGGAGATATGGACAGACTAATAATGCAGGATTACTCGATAAAACGCAGCACGACTCTTGGTTTTGGCTTAAACCTCACAAGAATCAATTTTGCACAATCTGCAAAGGACCTTTTAGTTAGGCATTTGTCCACCTCTATACCTGTGTCTGAAAGGGCATCTGAATTAACTGCCAGGTCAACAGCCATATACTGAAGACGTCTGGGCAGAATCCCTTTTACTGCACTGTCGTCTCCAGCCATATGTCCACCAGCCGTCCTGCCACCCACACCCCATTTTGTTTTGTCTGATCCTTTAAAATGTCCTCTAAACCCCCCCACACCAGCCCCACTACCACCACCTCCACCTGCTCACTGCATTTCTCCCATTATTATACTCTAGTTATTACTGTGCATTGAAAACACCTACTGCGCTTTTGGTGGATTAAACTGACTCATGAAAGGATGACAAAAAGAGAAAAAAACAATGTAATTTGTCCTTTGTTAAGCCTGCAGCGCGTAGGTATCTTAGCAACAGCACCTCAGCGCCGCGTAGTACAGTCGCGCCTCATTACAGCCGCTGATGGTAATTCTAGACAGGGAAAAGCTCTAGGGACCGGAGACCAGGTTTCCAGGTAAAATGTCAGAAGCCAGGACCTGACGGTGGTAAAGCCAAGTGTGTAGCAGTTCATTTTAATATATATACTTTTTCTTACATTTTTATTTGAACGTTTAACCCATTACAATCTACGCATATTATATTCAGCCCATAAAGTAAAACATATTTAGTCTGTAGAGCTTCACAATCAAATCAAACACTAAATAAGTCAATGACCAGGTTTAGGCAGAAGCTAAAGCTCAAAGCAGAGACTCTGTACTCTTAGTACTGCTAATGTAGTAAAATTGATTGAAAGATTATTTACTGATCGTAGTTGGCCCAGAAAGTCTTATAATGTTTAAACTTTTTATTCATGCAAAATTTGAGGGATAAATAACAGCTACATAACATATTTGAATCAGTTTAGTCTTATTTTATTTTAATTTTAAAGGTGCACTGTGTAAACGTTATGTCTGGGCATCCATCACCTGCTTATTTCTATGAATGTGTCATTGTTCTGCCTAGAATGTTCCACAGTGTGACATTAAACAGCTCTACTTTACATTTATTGTATCACAGGTGGTTTTATAGCTCAAAAATACTTAGAAAAACAGGTATTCTGACTGTGAGCGGGGTCGCCTCTCCACAGATCTAAGCTCTAACTTTGTCTGGTTTGGCCTCCGTGATGATAGAAAGGTTTAATACCATACTGTGAAACATTCCAGACAAAGCAATAAAATCTCCATGAAGAAAAGCATTTGATGGACCCTCCACCAGAAAAGTGACGCAATGCACCTTTAAGGAAATAAATGCTCTTACCCGTCTCTCTATCTGGAATCGACAGATACTTGTCCATTGGTATGGAAACTGTAAAAAGCAGGATTGGTGCATTCTTACACCTAACCCTGTAGTTTAGATTTCCACAACCATGTTCTGAAACGACTGAGGTTTGTTTATTATTATAACTATTCATATTTTCTCAAATTACATGTCTCTTGGATGTCTTTGATGCTCTGTGTTACTTTTCTGGTGGAGGAGCCGTTACCAGCGGACCTGTGGCCAGCCGCACGCACAAGTCTACGGCCAACCACACGAACTCTGCTATTTTGTTTAGTTCGCAAACTCCTGAGAATCCATCTGGCTCTGCTCCCGCTGTTTCGATCACCCGGGGCACCAGTGGTTCAGACCAATCGGAGCAGGGCTGAGGTTTGGGCTAAAGCCAGAACTGAAGCGCCCAAACGAACTAAAACAAACACGCCAAGACTAACTGAAGTTTTTCTACCTTTTTTACCAGAAATAGGCTATTTTTGTTTCTGAAAACTGTGCAACGGGAAGCGGTTTGAACATTCGTGAACTGAAAAGATGTGCTTTTCTCTGCAACTGGGTTTCACTGAAGTTAAGTTTGATCTGGCTCAATTCAGAGTGCTTCACATCAAGACAGGAAACGCATACAATGTTCAAACTACAAACTTAATATATTTCATTTGGTGATATACACACTTTAAATGGAAAGCGCCATTTGTTCATGCTCCAATGATGAAACAGCCCTGCAGAATTCAAATACAATAGAAGCAATATAAATCTGATAAAACCAAGCTCTAGGTTGGTTTTCGCTTACTGTGTAAAATCTGTATCCACCCCCAGTATCTATAAAAATCTGCTGACAAAATGGAACCAGCTAAACAAAAGAGATCCCGCTCTTTGTCTGGCTGTCAAAATGATTCATGTACCTTTTTCAGACACATTTTTATTGGCTGTTTTTAAAAATAAGAGAAATGTCTCCATTAAACTTAATTTAAAAGCTGCTATGAAAAAAATTTAATTACGTGGACTTGTAAATAGGAAAGAAATCACTTAAAGAGGTGGTATTATGCTAAACATTTTGGAGCTTTCTTTCATGTCATAATGTCGTTCCCTTATCAGAAACATGCCTGAAGTGGCTTTGTGTCACCCATGCATGTTTAAATAATTATAGTGATCTTTCCCAGGCCCTGTTTGAACCCTCCTTACAGTTAACAGTATGATTCTCAGCCCACAAGTCTACTTCGCTCATGCTTCCGTAATTTTTTCATAAATATACAAAATAATACACAACAACTTCGTAGACCTGTGATAGCACTCTGAAGGGGGAGCCAAGGGAGTAGAGACTCAAAGTACCGGAAACAAAACTGAAATTTATTAAACATGGTGATACTCTGATTGCATTTTCAAAACAATATTTATTTATCGAAATCTGTAATGTATTAATAATTAATACCCAATAGAAGTGTAATACCCTCTTTAAATCCTATCCGCTCAGTCACGGTGCTTTCTAGAGTTATTCAAATGCCATTCAAATAAACCTCCTCACAAGCTAAGTTGTTTACCGTGACACAGCGAGGAGCCTTTTACTGCTGTGACTTCAATTCCCACTAACCTAATCCGCTCTGGTGCTCCAGGTTTTATTACAGCAGCGCAGTGGGACTGTCCATTTATCAAAGTTAGCCTCACGTTGGCTCGTATATACACTGATCTGAAGGGGTTTTGTGTTTGTTCGCCACAGCTCTATCCAGGAGCCATCCTCGAGGTCTGTGGATGAAAATTGGGCAGGTTCCCACAAGTCCAAGGTGAGAATTTATTGCGTTATTTGTTTGTTTATTGTATTGTTTCAGTCAGTGCTGTTTATGAGCTGCTCTAAATGATTCCAACTGCCTCTTATGATTCCATTTTACATTAAAAGATAATTGACTTAAAAGAACTGTGTAAGATTCTGATCTCATAGATTTCATATACATGGCCCAGCTGTGTCCCCAGACAGAAGCAGACATGTTCAGATCTGACTGATAACATCTGTAATGCTGATTTATTCTTAATGACAAAAACACTGGACATGATGGTCCAATGTTTTTGTTTGTTATGATTTGGTTTTGCTTCCCAAGACCAGTGTTGGTCAGATTATGTTACAATTGATAATTCCTTCTAAAATTAATCTAATTACTATTCTGATTACTTCACTTTACAATAATTAGATTAGTAATTTGATTACTAATTACTGTAAGTTACTTTGAAATATTGAAACGACTGATGAAAAGCATTCATTAACTTCAGGTAGAGATGATGTGCACAGTCCTCCTTAAACCAGTGTTTGTGATGTTTTGGTTCACAGCGTCAGACTGTAGAAGAGGAGATCTTCGCTCCTGTTTATCTTTTCACTCTTTTACCACAGTTCTAATGGAGAACATACATTTTTTCAGGGAAAAAGTAACATTTCCAGCCCAAGTAACTGTAATCTAATTACTCAGTTTTCACTGAAAGTACTAAAAAAGTAATCTAATAACAGTAACCCCCTGCGTTGTAATGAGTTACTGCCCAACACTGCTTGAGACCATTATCCACTCGGCTCACATGAGTCTCATTTGGGTTGCCAGTTTGTGTTAACCCTAAAGTGACTCTCTCTGATCTGAATGGTCTTTACTTAAACCCCAGAACCTGCAGCCAGTTCTGAATCAGTGCTAGTGCAGCCTCTGCAGCTCAGTGAGGGAATTCTGCAACTTCTGAGCCTCACATGTCCATAAACTGAGAATGAGGAAAAACTTGTATGTGTCCTCTATCTGCAGATTCAGGCACTGGCAACACAAGTTCAGTTCTGATTGTAGTACTTTGTTTTAAGTCAGGCAGAACACAAGCTGCATATGGCTACACAAACTTGGTAAATTAATCTTAGGTCTTTTCAGCTGACATCAATTACGCATTAGGGTTGAATAATGCAGTACTTTCTGATGTTATTAAACAAATCGCTCTTTTCTAACTTTGTTTTGTTCACACAGTTTAAAGTGAGTTCTTTGTTGTTTTCCCAGTGCATCCGATATCAGCCCAGGCTTGTCCATCTTTAAACAGTCCTCTGAAGTGGTCTTGTCCTGTCCGTCAGACCCTCACTTAGCATTCATGTCATGTTTCTGTAACAGAGACGTCTCTTCACTTTAACCTCTCCACCATTTGTGCCTCAGCTGTGGTCTGTCCCTCTGCTTTTCTGTTCTCAGAGGCCCTGCAGTTGTCACTATGAGCTGACTCAGGACTCAAATAGCTCTGTGTAAAAGGGGAAGAGGGGGGGGGTTATGTCATGAGAATGTTGTTTTAACTGAGTTTGTATGTTTTTCAGCATTTGTGAGGAGCGACAAGCCCAAGATGTTCAAAGGTCTTCAGATCAAGGTGAGAACAGAAATGATTCACAAGATCTTTAAAGGGCAATAAAACAGTAATAACAGTTTTGCCCCAGTAATTAAAATATTGTAAAAACAGTTCTTAGGGTCAAAATAAGACCAGTGTAAACTGTCCTGAATCAGGAAGTGTGCTGTTAGCATGCTAGTTATTGTTAACATTACAGTGACAGCAAACCCACAAGCCTAGACAAGACATGTTTATTTCAAGAGCACAATTCATACACAGCGTTATTCAAAGTGCTTTACAGAATAAAGCCATTAGAATCACAACACAAACAGATCAGAACATAAATAATCATCATAAAATGAACATTAAAAAGAAGAGTGGAGAGTTTAGGGCTACGTCCTCAATGCTCCCACATGGTAATTTTGTATAAATAAATAAAAGCATGGTACAAAATATTACACTACAACTTTACAAACCATTAACAAGATACATGCTGATTGTAATGTGATAACGCTCTGAAGGGTGAGGAACTTAGCACAGAGAGCAAAACATATTACATATGTTAATGCATTGTTTTACCAAATATAGCATTTTCAAAACATTAAACGGTAACATGGTGATGTAAATAAGTTGTGTTGGGCTGTTAATACCCGTAGAAGTGGAACAGTCTCAAAATCACATCTGAGCTACTCAAACAGATTATGTTCTTGAGTTTATTTTTATTCCTTTAGTACAAATAACAATGCAATAATTCAGAGTCAAATCTGCCAAAGCTGCTACTTGAAACTGTGTGAACAACTTGGGAAATTTGCATCTATGAACTCGTCTCCCTCCAGCATTTTTAAAACTGGAAAAACTGCAAATCAGGCAGCCATTACATAACCTGAAATGCCTCCCCTAACCCATCATTAATCATGTTTCAGGACGCTTATTTGTTTTTCTCATTTAGTAACATTTTGTGTTGTCACGAAAAAAATGTTTTCAAGGAATAGACTTGATACTCAATACCTATTCCGATTCTATGAAGAGAATAAAAAACACAATAAAAATAAGAATAAGAATAAAAAAACACACAAATCAGTCAATCAATCAATGTGATTTTCAGCATGATGAATGCTGACTGATGATGATGTGTGGTCTTTTATCTGTGTCATCCCTCCAGTAGCTTCTATAGTCCATGGGCGTATCATTCTATATCTAAACTAACTAACTAAACTATTCAGAAAGGTTTCATTCACGTTCTCTGAATGTAACTTCTGAATTTTTTACTATCGATACCTGCTCAAATGAGTATTTAGTTTCAATACTAGTTTTAGTATCGAATTGTATCTGATTTTTGATACTTTTTTCAAGTCTAATAGAATGTGGTGATGCAACACGGCAATTACAATTGCTGGGTTTAAGTTTTTACTATTTAATTTACTGTTATAATATGACCTTTGATTATAATTTGTATTTGTGTTACTATTATTGTTTTTGTTCTCTTTTTTTCTATTTTTGCTGAGATTTCCAGTGTAAATGTTTGTTATATTAAATTGAAAAATATAATACAAAAACAATAATACATTAAAAAAGAGAAATATGCAGACTTTATGTGTAATCTTAAATGCAGTTATCATTATATTTAAGTAAAATTGTAGTGTAACTTGTCAGAAAAGGAAGAAAGAAAAAAAAAACATAATTGTTAATATACTTTTCAGATCATATACAACATTGAATGAGTTTTAGACTTGGACTTGGACTTAGACAAACTGTACTGATCCACAAGGGAAATGATTTGGACACAGTAGCTCACACATCACAATATAATATAATAAAATAGAACAAAATGATAATGGTAATAATACATGGCAAAAATGTCAAGAGACTTCTGTCAATAAGGCATAATAATATAAAAGTAGACTAAAATAAAATATAACAATATACAATATAACCGTCTTGTATCTGCAGTACGTCCGTGGCTCTGACCCGGTCCTCAAACTCCTGGACGACTCTGGGAACATCGCCGAGGAGCTCAGTATCCTCAAGTGGAACACGGACAGCGTGGAGGAGTTTCTTAGTGAAAAACTGGACCGAATATAGACCCCGCCATCTTAACCCATGGACTTAAACTTCAGACATAATCACGATATCAAAAACAAATACAAAGACTCTTCGACTTTGACTCCGTACCAATTGAATTTTTAGCCTGAAATTTTGATAATTCTTCACGACTGTTTAGGATTTAAAGAATTCTACTAAGCCTTGTAAGATTCAGACTGTTTTTGTATGGTTAATGCTGGAATGTGTGGTTTGGAGGGACACTCTGCTGCGATTGGCCATTCAAAGTGCTGAAGTTTAGGAGCAAAGTCATTTTTTTTAAAGAAAGGTGCATTATGTAACGTTTTGGTTTGGAGTCCATCGCCCGCTTGTTTCTATAAATATGTTATTGCTCTGCCCGGAGTGTTCCACAGTGTGACATTAAACAGCTCACTCTTACATTTAGTAAAGTACAGATGATTTTATAGCACAAATACATAGGAAAACAGGCATGACTGTGAGCGGGGTCGCCTCTCCGCAGATCTGACCTGTAACTTGCTCTGGTTTGGTTTCCATGAAGATAGAAAGGTTTGAATGTCATGAAGAAAAGCATTTGACAGACTCTCCACCAGAAAAGTTACACAGTACACTTTAAATTATGAAACAGATCATGTTACTGTAATGTTTTGGGTTATTTGATACATAAACAGAAGTCACTTTAAAATACTAAATTGTCACCACCTTAACTTACACCAGTGACAATTCTAATGCTTAACTTCATGATTTTTTTATTGCACAGCTAGTTCTGGCAATGTTTAATCACTGTTTTATATCACTACGCTGTGAGCATCACCATAGCAACGTGTAAACAAATGAATTACTATAAGGAGGGACCATCTTCGTCTAAAACAGAAATAACTAATAATGCCTTTAACATCCACAAACTGCTAAAAGTTTGCCAGATTTAAAACTATTTTCACATCATAAAATAAATATATATAACATTTTAGACCTGTTTTAACACTTTACCATGGCAACCAGAGCTACTGATCATGTCCGTCCCTCCAGACCTGACTATCAAGCACTAACTGTTTTGTAAGCATTGATTTTGAGATTATTTTTTTCTCTCTTGTCTTTTTGGATCTTTCCCCTGTCCTGTACGTCTGATATTCTTGTATAATTATTTTTTATATGGCTCGGCATTGTGGGATTTGTAGTCAGACTGGAGAGGCGGCGTTCCTCTGTAGGAGCAGTCCTGTGGGGGCCTGCCGTAGTGAAGAGGTCGCAGTAAACCAGGGCGCTGGCATGTGACGTCTGATGTTGGAGGCCCCGCGCAGAGACTGTGATCTGTAAAGGAACGCTGTCTGTTTGGTTTGTAAAGGGATGAAATATGCAACAATAAAAACCAACAAATGTAATCTTGTTTTTGTCTTTTTAATTAGAAAAAGAAGGGAGAGAAGAGGTTTTCATGTTGTAAAGTTATGGTTCTAGTGACATCTAGTGGAGAGGAAGTGGAAGTTTAAATTCATTCAGTTAAAAAGCCCATATTGCGCTATTTTCTCATATATAATATGATATTATAATGTCGTTTCCTCATCAAAAACATTTTTAGAGTTTTGTTACCTCCGCCAAGGAGGTTATGTTTTTGCCGGCGTTTGTCTGTTTGTTTGTTTGTTTGTTTGTTTGTTTGTTTGTTTGTCTGTTAGCAACATAACTCAAAAAGTTATGGACCGATTTTGATAAAATTTTCAGGTAAGAACTGATTTCATTTTGGGGGTGATCCGGAAGAAATCCTGGATTCTGGATCACTTTGAAATTTTAGTTAACATTGCGATCCGGATCTGATCCAGAAGACTGATTTTATCGCAATTTATATAAAAAATGGGGGTAGTCCTTGGCGGAGGTCTGCGCTCTCTGAGTGCTTTTCTAGTTTTTCTCTAATTTACACATGTTTAACACACGACACCCTGCATATTTAGCCTTTCTATCAAAAGGAAAACACATGTCATGAATCTGTACATCTGTAGAATCTGTAGTCTATTAAAAGTTTCATGTACCTTTTGTTCAGTTTAGATTGGCAATTCCAGACATGAAATGGTCCAAATGATTGTAGTGTGTGTGTGGAGTTTAAACAACACAGTGGAGCAATTCCTGTATAACCACATGACATCACAAGGTGGCCTAAATGTGCAGGTTTGTGTGTTAAACATGTGTAAATGAAATAAAACACAATTCCAGATTATGTTTTTGATGAGGAAACAACATTACTATAACATAGCAGAAAGACTTTAAAATGCAGTGTTTTTCATTTCACTCAATGGGAAAAAGATTGCAGGCAAGTAACACGTTTTGTGAAAAATTCTTTTAATCCAACATTTATAGAGATAAGTCGTAATAACAGTTTAGTAGAAATGGAAGTCACAAATGGTCAGATAAAAGTGTCTCATAGAAAAGAAGGCAATTATTAGTCCCACAAAGGGGAGACTGCAGATCGATACATGTACACAACACTCATTTAATGTCATGATACACAGGCCTGGCACACAATGACGCAACAGTATGTAATAAAGACAACATGAGAAAATTAGAATTATTGATACTTTGCAGTGGCATCGCTCTGGGGGTGTTCTATGTGTATGTGTATTGACAGAATGTTCACCATGGAGACACAATGCACATATTGGTAAACATTGCCAAATAAGTCTGAAACCCAAGTGACTTACCCAGTCTGGCGCCACCTAGTGCCTCTGCTCAATTTCATTTAAAAAAATTAAAGGTCAAAATTAAAAACTGGGACTAAGTCATGGGCCAAACTAATTTATTAGAAAAATTTCAACAACATCTGCATGTTTTCTCTTCTTTCAAGATATGTAATGTTAAACCTTTTCTTATTAAAATAAATGTTGAATCCAGAACAAGCAGAATATAAAATAATAACAAAATTTTAAATAAATAATGTAAATATAGTCGATCTGTAGCAGGCGGGCAGCTCTAATACAACTTTGATATGATATCGCGGGCCAAATTTAATTATATTGTGGGCCAAATTTGGCTCCTGGGCCTGAGTTTGACATGTCTGCACTAGACGGTTCGCAAAAATCCAGGCACCAGCCAGACTTGATTCTGTTTTGGCAACAATTCCCGAGATCGAGGATTTAAACAAAACAGAAGAACAAAGAGAATGGTGAATTTTATCAAGGGGAAAGACGTTATTGTCCTTCTTCCATTGGGATTTGGGAAAAACTTAATATACCAGTTAGTCTCATTAGCGGTGCATTACATACCAAATAACAGCGATTAGTTAAATTAAAAAAGTACCCACCTTCTGTCGAGCGAATGAATCCTAATGCTGTGAGATCAGACGGTTTTTACAAAATGAACCTGGCTGATGAATCAGGTTACTTGTGACAATAAATGTGCTGAAAGGAACTCTCCTGTTGAAGTTCCAGCTAAGTCAATTCTCTGGTCAGATTTTGTTAAACTAAAACTAACCTGAGTAACATATCTTCAGACAGAGCAGTGCCTACAGTTAGCATCATACCTCAAGAGAATGTTGATGATATCAGCTACAAAGTATCAATACTATGAATTAGTTAATCACTTAATGGGACATTTCTGAATACAGTATAAAATTTAAGCTCACACATTATACAAACACATTTATCAAGGCAAAAGCATAAAAAAAAAGATGTCAAATTACACAAAGTTTTTGGAGCCCTCTAGTGGGTGGTCCTCTCCTTTGGCGTGAGACTGAGGTTTGTACACCACCCCTGGATACCTGCAGCAGACACGATCCAGTCAACAATCTCTTCACATGTAAATGGCGTCTATTTTTATGTCATCTTTTGTATTATTTATGCTCGGACATATTTCGAGTGTCTCACCTTGGTTTCTCATCTTTCATCATCCCCCTGAAGGCCAAAGACTTGAGAACTCCTCCGATCAGCAGGACCCCTCCCCCGATCCACGCCACGAAGAGGGCGGGGCCAAACGTGTAACTGCAGCAGACACAGGTACACAAGGTACACAAGTTACACTACTATGATGTACTGTAAGGCTTCTGTTGCCATGGTAAATACAGCAGCTATCTTGTGATTAAAGCAAGAGCAAAATTTTGATTGAAAAGAATGTAAAAGGGGTGAGAAAATGCATTGATTTAAGTTTTTAAATGGAAATATTTGAATATATTTGTGGTCGTAATAGTGCAAGGAATCGTGTCTCTGTCAGGACAGTTTTTATAAGAATTTTATCAGGAAAAAAAGCTTATTTTCACCATAAAACACTGCACTATTAAGGTTTTGCATCTACATCACAAAACTACGTGACCTGGTGTTTATGTGGCCATATTGGAGTCAAACTATCCATCTGGACCAACGTGTAGTATTTGTGTGTGATAACAGTTGAATTGAATAACAAGTTTTGAGCTGTGTTGCTGTTGGATGTTCTGTCATCAATCAATCTGCTAAAGAAGGAGGCCAAAGTATCTTTCTCTCAGATCCCGGCTGTTAAAGATCACAGACAGACGTGGAGACGACATAAAAAAAGAGTCGTCTGTGCAGTCAACATTTAATTTCTGGTGAGGGACCATCTCCACACAAATGAAGAACTAAAACTATCTTTTTCTTGTAGATATGAAGAATGATAATCTACTTTCACCAGTTTATGTCCCATCATTATGTACGTACACCTCATCACCAGTGAAACACAAAGCAAAACGTTCACTTATTTCCTATGAAAGAAGATCCAACATGAAAAAACAGATGCTGGAGGTTGGACACAGAGCGAGCGTTGATTAAACTAACAAAGCGCTCTGTCGGAATTAGATCAGGATCTATTCCACAACCCAGGAGGACGACTTTAGCTTTACACCTTTCTAATGACGCTGATCTAACAAGCAGGAGATTTCGGAAAGTTTTATGTCGTTTGTGCTGTTTAAAGTCGCCATGATTATATTGTAATAAAGTGAATAATCCCAATCTTGACCTTCAGTATCATCGCCAAAACATTAAATCCCGTCACCGCCACGACACACGCAAATCCTCAATACTGTACACAGATTTAAACTGAACTAATTGTGTGTCAGTATATCATATGAACACAACCACTGATAATTATTCTGTTTACTTCATGCCTGTTACTATAAAAGAATAATTTATTACCTAAAGAAAGTGTTGGGAAGGTTACTTTTAAAATGTATCCCCCTACAGATAACAGATTACATACCCCAAAATGTAGTTTGTAACATAATTCATTAAATTATTTCAAATGAGTAAGGTAATCTGAATACTTTGGATTACGTGATATTGTCATGCTTTTTAAAACTACATGAATGTAGCGACCACATCCTGAAAATTCTTGTTTGTTCTCTTCAAATTGTCTGTTGAGCCCAAGTCTCCATGAAGAAGCATTTGTTTACTGTAGAGAAGCAAAGCCTAAGAAATCTTAACATGAGATGTTTTATGTGTTAAAAGAAAAGAAAATGTCCAGTCTTTCCTTAAGCATATTAAAAAATATTTTTGATAGAGAAATGTTTTTTATATGAGATCACTACTGCTTTAAATTATGTCCACCTACTATTAGTGTCATTGTTTAGACCTGGTTTAGTCCTGGTTTAGTCCTGTTTAGTCCTGGTGTTCGTCCTAGTTATAGTCCTGGTTTAGCCCAAAATGTGAAAACAGAAAAATACCGCCATGTAATCAATTTATTTCAACAAAGTAACTGTAATCCAATTACCACTCACTGAAACAGTAACTGTAACTAATACAGTTACTCATAATTTGTACTCTGATTACATAACTTTGGTACATGTAATCTGTTACTCCCAACACTGCCTAAAGATGTCGTTTGGTAGAACATGGGCATTAAATAAAGTACAAAAAAACAAAACAATTATGAAAGTATTAAAGGGAAAACCAGAATGAAAAAGTTCAGCTCCGTATAGATTTCTATGAATGCTTGAGAAGAATTCCACAGTCACAACATATTTACTGCAACTGGACATTCTTTACTATAGGTTACCATGGCAACAATATCTGTAGTTCCTCATTATAGCCTCTGTATAAAGACATATACAGTGATTATAGCTCATTATTACATGACATTTAAACTCTAGATGAGCTTGTATGGATTATACAGTTTCAGACATTTTAAAATAATGAATAAATCTTACGTTGGTACCCCGGCCGCCATGCCCATCCCTCCTCCAAATCCTTCCTGTCCAAAGTTGTTGTAGTTGTTGTTGTAGTTGTTGTTGTAGTTGGTGGTGACTGAACTTTGGAAACTGGACACGATCTGGTTTGCGTAGACAGACGCTCCAGCAATGCCACAGATACCTGAGGAATGAACATGGAATTTTAAAATAATTCTATTGTAGGAGTGTTATAGATAATATTGAGTATAATTTTGTTCAGTTATGTTTTACAGGCAGCAAAATGGAATTACACACAAAAATATATATCTTTGAATCTGAGATAAAAGTTGAGGAGAAATTGCGATTGTGAATTAAAAAAACAAACAAAACAGAAATTCTTGAGAAACTATATAACAAATTAAAAATAAGCAATGAAACAAACACATTTTCATTTGGTATATTTAAAGCTGTACTGTGTAACTTTCTAATAAAGGATACTGCATCTGCTTGTCTGTTATTTATTGGTCTGGAATGTTTCTCAGTATGGCATTTACCATCTCCATGGAGACTGCAGGTGATGCTACTAGGCCAAGTTACAGACCCCTCTCACAGTAACAAGTGTTTTAAGAGTGTTCTAAGCATCAAAAACTTGTGTAACTGAATGAATCCAAAATAGATCAATTTAATGTCGTACTGCGGAACATTCCAGGGTAAAATGTGTTACCTCAGTAAGCACAGTCTGCACTTAACTCAAGATCTCAACTAGTTACTCTCTGGTCTAAAGGCGCCCACTTACCAGCTGAACCACTCATACTGAAAATCACTCAAATTAGATGATATATATTAAAGGTGCACTGTGTAACTTTTTCATCTGCTTGTTTCTATGGAGATGTCATTGCTCTGCCTGGAATGTTCCACAGTGTGACATTAAACAGCACTGCTTTACTTTTTTTTTTAAATTACAGGTTTTACTGCTCAAAAATACCTAATAAAAAAACAAAAAAACAGGTATTCTGACTGTGAGCGGGGTCGCCTCTCCACAGATGTGACCTGTAACTTAGTCTGGACTGGTTGGGTCTCCATGAAGATGAAAAGGTTTAATGCCACACCGTGAAACATTCTAGACAAAGCAAAAACATCTCAATCGATAAAAGCATTTGACGGACCTTCCACCAGACCAGAAAAGTTGCACATTTAAGATCTTTTTTATTTATTTTATTTTATTTTTGTGTTACCAGCGATGATGAACATGATGCCGGCTGTGAGGCTCATCTTGGCCTTAGAGCTGTCCTCCATCTTGTTCATGGTGAGACACTGCAGAGAGATGACGGACAGCACCGTTCCTATCGTGCTCAACACCACCCCGACGATCATCAGGGCACGCACCGCCTGGAACGAGTCTGCAGGGGGCGCAACACACAGATCACTCCATTATACAGTCTATATACAGTCTTCGTTTTCCTTGATTCCTCTCCTCGATCCTACATCTTTCAGCTCTCAATCAAATATGTCTGCAGGAGGCTTCAGGAGCAGACATCGGAGAAAAGAATCAAACTTTATCGGTTTCAGTGAGGAGTTTCGATCCTCTCTCCTCGCCGTGTCTCCTCTGTGGGCGGGACTTCCTCACCCATTTCCTTCAGAATCGAGGAGAGGAATCAAGGCGAAGGAAGCGAGGAAAGAGAAATGAGACGCGGCCTGTGGGTCAGAGTAGCCAAAGTTGTATTGAAGTCGTTTCTAATGTAGTAGAAATGTATCTTTCGAGGAAAATGAGTCATAATCCTTTATCGTTTTAGTCTGAGCTGATAAAAAAAGGCCTGATAATATGTATAAATAGTAAATGTAAGTACAAACAAGCTTAACTATTGATACTTTGCCGTAACATCACGCTGAAGGTGTTCTGTCTGCATGCCTATGACGGAATGTTCAGCAGTTACCATGGTGATAATGCATACTAACAAACACAAAACTCAAGAACTAATACAAACTGGAATTACACAACACATTTTCAGGAGCCTGTGACTGATACGAGCGTTCATGGTCCTGTTTAGGAGTTTGATTTTCAACAAAAAGATGAGAGTGACTGCCGTATTTTTTCGGACCATAAGTTGCACTTTTTTTCATGGTTTGGGTGTTTTCTGCGACTTATACTCTGGTGCGACTTATATATTAACATTTTCACACTGACAGCGGTGAGAGGTTCTAGTCTTGTCTGTCAGTATCTGCTGCTCCTATTAATCCTGTACCACTGTCACTTCACTCTACTGCACATGTCTCCTACAGAAAGAGCCTCTGTCCTGCTGCAACTAGTGAAATATTCAGCTGAAAACGGTAATTGAGCAGCAGAAAGAAAGTTTGGAGTGAGAAACTTGTGAGGGACTGGTGGAAAGTGAGGATGAAGAACAGGATGAATCGACACACTCTGGACTTCAGTGACACCAAAACCCTCCCGTCGGAATTCAGAAAGACCGAAATAATTCTAACTGGAACTGATACTGAGTTTGAAGACAGCTACACAGAAGAGGAAGCGGCGCTCTGTTTACCTCCGGAGGTCGTGGAGTTGTTCAGAAGTGACACCGAGGATGAAGAATCGAATGGATTTAGTGATTTGGAGTGAGATGGAGAGTTTGGTAAACTTGTTCTGTTCTGTTGTTTATGTTATGATTTATCTGAAGAACTGTTCATATGTGTGTCTGTTGTTCTCTCTTCTATTGTTACTATTAGTATTACTTACTATTACTGTTACTATTACTTACTATTGTTACTGTTACTATTGTTATTAGAACTTGACTTTCAACAGGAAATGTCCCCCAAAAACTGCGACTTATAGTCCGGTGTGACTTATATATGTTTTTTTCTTCTTCATTACACATTTTTTGGCTGGTGCAACTTATACTCCTAGAAAATAAATACAGATGGCAGCTTTGAGTATAAATGGGAAAAAAATATTCCAGATTTTGTTTTATTCACAGCGTAAACATGTCAAAGTAAAAATGTCTTTGTGTCCCATTCACTTGTGAAGAGCAGGCAAATGTTACTATCGAAAAGTGCTCTTACTACTTTCAAATTGACAATTCATGACAAAAAGCAAATTAATATCACTTTTAGAACCTATTTTTCAACTAAAGGTGACATTTGGAGGACTTTTTTCAATCAAAGACATAACATTTTGTTCTAAAATGTTCTTTGCAGTGACAGTGGTTCTCATTTGTTAACATTCGGAGTTCAATAGTGGAAGGCAACACCAGGTCAGACTTGGCTGCACCTCTTCGTTGCATAGGTGGATAGATTATGGGTGAGTTTTACTGTTTGTTCTTGTTTGATAAGTGAGCTGAAGTGCATTATGGGTAATAAAGGTAAACACACCACAGTCAGACGAGAATTACAGTAGAAATGAGTGAACCAAGCCTTAGTCTGTGTTTGATTTATGTATGGAATATATAATGTACAATGACTAAGAGAAGGAAATGACATCATATTTACAGTTTTATTTTCAATCATCTTGCTGAGGTAGTTTTTTTTTTTTACCTAGTTACAGAAATAATATTACAAACTCGCATATATTTGTTGAAACGCAATATTTTTATTTTGTAAATAAATGTCCCCAAATTCTAAAACGAATTTCATCTGTATATTTTGACAACAATGAAATGCAAAAGTTTTCTGACAATTTTGTTTTAACTTGTATATTTGTCATCAACTTTTCTCTCAAGTTTTAGATTTTCTTCTTATTTGTTCGTTTCGGTAGGAACTTCAAGCCAAAATGTTCCTGTTCCTGTGCTTCTCGTTTGTACTTCTTGTTGATGAAGCGGGTGTACGTGCGAAAAATTTCATGTACGTAAAGTTCAACGTTAAGTTTGTGTTTTAATAAAAGGCGGCGTAACTTGAAAACATGAGTAAATCATCTGAGCTCAGAAAAATGAGAAGTGAAAAAGTTTGTGGAAGGTTGTGGAATTTTGTGGAATTTCGTGGAAGTTTGCAAAAGTTTGTGGAAGTTTGTGGCAGTTTGTGGAATTTCGTGGAAGTTTGCAAAAGTTTATGGGAGTTTGTGGAAGTTTGCAAAAGTTTGGAGAAGTTTGGGGAAGTTAGGATTTTGTCTCTGTGTTCACTTCTAGTAAGAATTCCATGTAAAGTAAAGTTTTCTAAATGAAACCTCAGATATTTACCAAGCCAAAATAGATGGCAAGTTACTTTATTTATCAGATAAAAAGATTCAATTTAACTAAACCAAGTCTAAACCAGGTTTAAACCAGGACTAATCTTGGACTTAAGAGAGTGTGTCCGCAAAGGGTGACTGGGTGACGGCTGCGTGACGTCTACCTCCATGGGGCGTGAAGCTCTGCGCCAGTCCTTTCGCCTGCCCGACAATCTACGTGGGCACCCCTCCGAGCTGATCCTGAACGTGAGTCCTGGTTCAGTTCTGGTTTAGTCCTGTTTTAGTCTTAGTTCAGTCCTGGTTTAGTCCTCCTGATTCAGTTATGGTTTAGTCGTGATTCAGTTCGGTGGTGTGTGCGGTGCAAAAGTCCGGCATCTCAGTCAGTGTTTCTTCTACTCGGTAAATAAAGCCTGTGAAGTAATGATGTAGTTTTGACAGTAAAGTCGCATCTGTGAATTTGTCTTTGTAATGAAGAAAGTGTAACCGTTTCATTTCATTTTGTGATTGTAATTCTTGAAGTTATAACTTTTCAATTCGTATTCTGATGGATGTTTCAGTTAGAATTCTTTTCATTTGTGTGTGATTAGACTATTGACTAACAGGTCAGTAGACGGGGTGGACAAAGGGGTCTGTTGTCCCGGGCCCCAGGGTTTGAATAATAATAATAATACATCAGACTTATACAGCGCTTTTTGTACACTCAAAGAAGCTCTACAAACAAAATTGGACCCTCTTTCTATTAATTTAGCTTAGCTATGGATCACGTGAGGATTCTTGCTTCAGGCCCCAAAATTTCTGTTGACGGGTCTGCTGACTAGACCCAAGAACTCACTGTATTACCAAAAAAAATCTGCATTTTAACAATATTAAATCTATCTGCTCTCATCTGTTTTACATAGAATTGGCCTATAGAATAACAACACAGCAATCCCTCCATCATCTCCTCCTCCTCCTCGTCCTCCTCACCTGAGAAGCCCAGGAGCCCGTAGAGAGGCCTGCACTCGGTCATGCCCGCCGTGGTGGTCTCGCAGTCCTGCCACAGCCCCCTGTACGTGTAGACGGAGGTCAGGAGGTCTCCCTGTCGATCCTTCACGCTCCATCTGTTCATCGCCGTGGCCGCGATCAGGAGAGCGGACCCCACCAGGCCCAGCGCGAAGCCGCCGTTCTGCAGAATCGAGGGGGCCATGGAGAGGACGGGCGCAGAGGACGAAAAGAGAAGGAGTGTGGAGTAGATGTGAGTGATGGAGCGGCTGGGTGGTGACCTGGTTTAACTGTAGAGAAGGTGTGGCAGAGGTGATAGGGGAGAGTGGTACTGGCTTAAAGGGGCAGGGCAGGTAGTGACCGATTCAAAAGTGTAAAAAGACTTGTGACAAATTTCTTTTCAACTCTATTACGCATGTGTTCTTTCAAATTCAGTATCAGTTATCCTGATACTAGTAAGTTTCTCATCCGGTCTCACATTTTGACATTTTGTTGACATTTTTCCACTTGTCACATCACATTTACCAGCTTAGTTTTTTGCACTAAATATGTAATAACTTGAGAATTTTAAAGTGCATATATCACGCTGTTTTCCGATCTGTTCTAATGTCATTTCCTCATCACAAACAGGCCTGGAGTTGTGTTTTGTTTTATACACATACAAATGTTTAACACACAAACCCTGCAGATTTAGGCTGAGTTCTTTTCTCAAACGGAAAACACTCTGTTCCACCTTGTGATGTCATGCGGTAATACAGGAAGTGCTTTACTGTGTTTTCAAACTTCACACACGTTCACTAGAATCATTTGGATAATTTCAGCTCTGGAATCGCCAAACTCTACTGAACAAAAGGTCAAAGGAGCAGTTCAATTAAAAACGACCACTGCATGACATCACAAGGTGGAATAGAGCATTTTGAATTTGGGAGATGTAGACAGGCAGTGATGTAGTCGCTGTATTGGACAGTTGTGGTGAAGAGGGAGCTGAGCCGAAAGGCAAAGTTCTCGATTTACCGGTCAGTTTTCGTTCCTTCTCTCACGTATGTTCATGAGCTCTGGGTAATGACCAAACGGACGAGATCGCGGATACAAGCGGAGAAATGAGTTTCCTCCGCAGGGTGTCTGGGTGCTCTCTTAGAGATAGGGTGAGGAGCTCAGTCACACGGGAGGAGCTCGGAGTAGAGCCGCTGCTCCTCCACGTCGAGAGGAGCCAGTTGAGGTGGCTCGGGCATCTGTTCTGATGCCTCCTGGACGTCTCCCTCGGGAGGTTTCTGGGCAGGTCTCATTGGGAGGAGGCCCCGGGGAAGACCCAGGACACGCTGGAGGGACTATGTCTCTGGACTGGCCTGGGAACGCCTCGGGGTCCCCCCGGAGGAGCTGGAGGAAGTGTCTGGGGTGAGGGAAGTCTGGGAGTCCCTGTTTAGGCTGCTGCCCTCGCGACCCGGCCCCGGATAAGAAGAAGAAAATGAATGAATGGATGGAGATGTAGACTGACTAAATTAATTAAATTAGACTAAATTAAATTAATTAATAAATTAAAATGTATTTTCTCACCTGGCAAGAATTTATTTGAAAATAAGAGAATGGGAAGGAAAAAAAAAATCTTCGGGTCTATGTGACCCCTAGGAGAGCGTGAGGGTTTAATAAACCAGGATTACTCAAACACATGTGAATGAAACAAACACAACTCTGAGTCTGTTTTTGATCAGGTAACATTATTATAGCATCTCTCAAATATCACAAGAGTCAATTTTGTATAATATAGGAGCTTTAAGATCAGGGTTAGGATTTTTGGGGGGTTTAGTTAATGTCAGTAATGCCCTCCACCAGTGTACACTCCTGCTGTATTGACTCTGTTCAGAATGTTAATTTTTTTTGTCCATTAAGACTCATTTAAAATCATTATAACCCAGGCTCCCTTTGATATATTTGAGTGTGAGGTGACTTGTAATTTGGAGAGCAGCTGTGAGTCAGTGAAACAAACAGTGCTGTTACTGTGTGTGATTCATGAGCTGAGTTATCGTTTTGTCAACATCACCAGGTTCACTTCTGCTCTTATCAGCGTTTGGATTCAAGAGTGAGAGGACTTATTCAGCGCCGCCATTTCACCAGTTTCTGTTCCGCTTACTACATTCATGTGCTTTTGGAATCAATTTATTTATGAAAAACAGCACTGTTAAAGGTGCATTGTGTAATTTTTCTAGTGGAGGGTTCGTCACCTGGTTGTTTCTATGGATATGTCATTGCTCTGCCTGGAATTTTCCACAGTATGACTTTAAACAGCTCTATCTTACATTTATTCAATTACAGGTGGTTTTAAAGATTAAAAATACTTAGAAAAACAGACATTCTGACTGTGAGCGGGGTCACCTCTCCACAGATCTGACCTGTAACTTGGTCTGGTTTAGTGTCCATGAAGATAGAAAGGTTTAATGCCACACTGTGAAACATTCCAGACAAAGCAAGAACATCTCCATGGAGAAAAGTGTTGGACAGATCTTCTACCAGAAAAGTGACACAATGCAGCTTTAGCTAAAGGAGAAATTCAGTTTGTCGACTGGACAAACGTTTATTTGGTCGAATATGTTTCTCAGCTCAGTCAAGCTGCTTCTTCAGTTCTGGTCAGACGCTGGTGGACACTTCCTTATATCTGTCTGCAGGAAAGGGCTTAATAACAACTCTGAAACTAACACATCTACTTGTTTACAGTTTCTGATAGTTTTTAGGTCTGTTGAACTGTATTGAGTGTGGGTCATATTAACAGAATCATTCATGGCCATAATGGAGCTTCCACACCTCTGGACCTGACCTGACTACACCTGTTGTTCTCTTGTTTGTTTTGATTTAATTTTGAGGATGGAGTTGTAAATAGGAGATAGATGGTGTCTGAGGTCTCTGTTTCTGTTTAGAGAAGGATTCTCTTTCTTAACAAAAATGGCTGTACCTCGCTGTTCTCAAATAAGTGGCCCGTGACTTTTAAGTGGAGATGTACAACAGACTGAGGTCCACTGCTGCTCTCTTGTCTCTGTTGATAAATCCTCTTGTGAAGTAGCTGTTTAGTTTCTCCAGTGTAGTGTTCACTGCAGTCTTCACTACACTGAATGGAGTAGAACATATTGCTTTGTTTGTGGCTCGGTGTTTTGTCCTTTGGTTGTACCAATTTCTGTCTTAAAGTGTTCGTAGGTTTGAAATAGACCGGGATCTCATGTTGTCTGAAAATCCTCTGTAGTTTTTCATAAACACCTTTAATAACAACATTGTTAAAGCTTATATACACTTTATTTTTTCTTCTGCATTTGTACCATCCTTCAGTGTCGCCGGGGCAACCTAGTCATTGATTTCCTAGAATGTTCCACAGTGTTGGGTGACGACAGCAGGCAAATCTGGGGAGGGGCTGTCACTCAAAATGCCTGTGTTAAAGGTATTTTTGAGTGAAAAATAAAACAAAAAAAAAGTTGAATTGAATAAATACAATTGAATAATAAATGAATGCAAGATCAGAGTAATGCCATACTGTAGAAGTAGTTTGCCCACCCCTGGGCAAACTACGATCCAGGGGCTATATGCGGCCCTTTAATCTTTTTAATCTGACCCGCAGAACTTGAATCATATTAATAATTTTCAGTTTTAAAAGTAATTTCAATAAATAGTAAATACCAAGGGACTTGAAAGACAGATATTTTGTTGTAATGCTTTGTACCGATTTTCAATTATGGGATATTTCAATAACATAGGATATATTTTCTACATATGACTTTTTTTATGAGGTGGATTACCAAAAAAGTCCATCCATGCTCCTGGTCTGGCCCTTTCGCCAAATTTTAGAACTCTCTGTGGCCCACGAGTCAGAAGGTTTGCCCACTCCTGCTGTAGAACATTCCAGACTCTCAGAAAAGTTACATAGTGCCCCTTTAACTTGAATACACAGTGGACACATAATACACCTCAACAAGTTTAAAGTCTGTACACAATATAAAACACATTAAAAATACTTGAAATAATTGTCAGAATAAACTGGATAATGATTGTTTATAGAATACAGGAAGACTGCGTTATCCTCATTTCTACTCATTCTCACATTTCACATTTCAAATATACATTTCTTTGAACATTTTCATATGTTTGAGAGTCAAAGTTGAGTAACTCTCCAAACATGAGTGATGTGGACAGCTGCAGGTGGGAGTGTGAGGTAGGAGTACAGTATCGAGCTGGAGGATTAGCCAGGTTAGTCAGAAATGTTGACAACTACTGTACAAAACTAAGACAATACTACTATACACTTTGTTTTCCATAATTAAATATGTAAACAGCTGTCTTCCTTACGTTGTATCCATGGTTTTCTTCCAGTAAAAAAACAATATTACGCTCTTTTCTGATCTGTTATGATGTTGTTTCCTTATCACAAACAGACCTGGAGTTTTATTTTGTTTCATTCACACATGTTTAACACACAAATCCTGCACATTTAGGCTGCTCTTCTCACTATGGGAAAACACTGTGCTCCATGTTGTGATGTCATCATGTGGCGATACAGGAAGTGCTTCACTGTGTTTTTAAACTCCACCCACCTTCACTAAAATCATCTGGATGATTTTATCCCTGGAGTTGCGAATCTCAACTGAAATAAAGGTCAAAGGAGCTGTTAACTTGAAAACTAATGCTTAAAAAAAAAAAAACTACCGTCCTTCCCAACCATTTCTCCAAACACAGCGATAGACAAAGTGTTTGATCCAACTATAATACAAAAAGGTGGTTTCTCTAACATTTACGGTCTAGTAATAGATCTTAAAAATGAATGTTTGGAGAAAATAAAAAACAGTGGGAAGATGAAATTGGTAAAGAACTAGATGAAGATGAGAGGAAGCGTGTACTTTCACAAATAAACAACAGTTCTTCGTGTTGCAAACTTAATTTCATACAATTTAAGTTAGTTTGCCGTATTTATTATCCTAACCATAGACTCTCCAAAATGTATTCTGATGTGAAAGATGAATGTAACAGATGCACATGTTCTATTTGCAGACACCTTGCAGATGGTCTGGAAATTGTCTTGACCCCTTCAGTCTGGCTATATTTGGAATACTAACTTACTCTATGGAAAACTGTCTTTGTGTCCTTAAGCAAGACACTTCACCCACATTGCCTAGTATGAAAGTGGTGTGTGCGTGAGTGGTGGTGGTGGTCAGACAAAAGCTCGCGTTGCATGCTGGGAATTATTTTGGTTGGCAAGAAACACTAATTCAACATGACGGACGGAGCGAGAAAGCACGTAAAGGGTATTGATCCCGGTTATTTATCCACTCTAACGGCAGAGGACCCAAGACCATTTGACCAGAAACTGGTCATAAGCATCGACGGACGACAAATCACCCTTTTCAACCCCGACAAAAGGTGGACCAAACCAAATTTCTGGTCAGAATCACCAACTACCTGGACAAATATTCACTTTGGCGATATCCACAATGACTTGGTGGAAACTCCTGGGCCATTCACAGCAGAAAAGATGAAAACCTCCAAGAGTCTGGATGTGTTGTTGAACTTGTTGGAGTCCACGGTTTGTTAGGATCTTCTACATTTGCTCTGCGGATGTTTGAAAGTCGTTTAATTCACTGTTAGCGGTTCTTTTCACTCAGAATACGAAAAAGACATTTTCCTTCTTCCGTGTTTCTATTTGTGCATCTGATAATGCAGCAGGAATTTACCATTATCAGGGATAAATACGCAAGGTTACGCACTGTGTTTGACCACTACCGTGTTTCTTGCCTCCGACCAAAATATTTCCCAGCATGCAACGTGGGTTTTTAATAACAATGACGTCAGCTGAAACTTGCCTATAGCCAGAACACGAATCCTGTTAGAATAGAATGGAAGTTACCGACTGCTCCAAAAGCCTCACAGTGGCAAAGTGACCTCATGTCGTTTCTTGACCTTGAAAAAATAAATTATGACTTGAGAGCCAAACCGACTAAGTTTTACACAGTATGGGACTCTATAATCAAATATACAAAAACTCTCAAATCATTATAACTTTACAGCCTGCTCAAGAAAGTGGCAAGGCACATTTCTCATTTAGGGTACAAATGGTATAAATAGGGGAAAAAAAGTTATTTATATATAACCTGTATTGTGTGTAGGAGCTGGGGGGGTAGGTGGGGCGTAAATTTTGAGGGTGGGATTAGTGGGATGGGGGTAAAAAAACAAAACAAACAAAAAAATCATTACTATTAACTACTAAAGGCATGCTTTTTTAAAAACATTTTCTTTAACATTACGTTTTATTTTGTACGATCATAAACGATAAACTTTTGTGCCTTCATGACATCACAAGGTGGAACAGAGCATTTGAGCTTTGGAGATACAGACAGACTAATAATAAATGAAACAACACGCAGCTCCAGGTCTGTTTTTGATGAGGTAAAACATTCTAACATGGCTAAAAGCTCACAAGAGTCCATTTTGCGTAACATAGGAGCTTTAATTGTAGGTTAGGTACCTCGTACGTTTAAAAACAGCAGATTGTTCTTCCTTGGCGCTTGGTTTAAAATCCCATAGTCTTGTGTTTACAGATCTATTACATGTCCTCTGATCACACGGTGGTGGATGGTCCGTACCCCTCCAGTCCTTTAGCGCCTCCTCCTGGCCCGGGGAACAGGATGTAGGCCACTTGAGGCTGCAGAGAGGCCCAGGGAGGGGCACATCCACAGGGCACCATGTAGCCAGCGCTGTGGGCCCCGGGACAGGCTCCCAGAGGACTACTATGGGCCGGAGGAGGAGGGTGGTGGTGAGAGTGGAGCCCGAATGCACTGAAGGGGAGCGGGCTGGGGCTGAAGTGACCCATCATCATCTGAGCAGAAGGAGGAGAAAATATTGAATCACAGTCTCATTAATTAGAACGCTCCATTAGATGTTCACCTGTTCTATTTCTGATTGTTCTATGCAGCCATTTACACACTGTCCCTCATCCACTTATTTAGAGAATGTCTCTGAAAACATGGTCATTTATTTGTCATAAATCTAAACATTTAGGGTGCACTGGCTTTCAAGGTTGTAATATGTTGTCAGATTTATGAAATTAGGACATTGCCATAGTGGTTAACAAATCAAAAGAAATATATTATTTGAATGGAAAAAAGTCCTCATCCCATGAATTGTGATTCAAATCTCTTTGGAATCTCTCCTGTGTTAGATTTGAGAAAAAAAAAAAAAAAAAAAAAAAAAAAAAAATAATATATATATATATATATATATATATATATATATATATATATATATATACACATATATATATATATATATATATGATGTTATTTCAGAACAATTGCATTTCCCCAAGTCCATCCCTCCAGAATCAACAACTTGTCCTTTTTTTCTGAGTTAAGTTGTTAGAAGAAGCTCAGGTGAGGAATGACTAAACCTGCCCAGTCTGGAGCACGTGCACAGGTGAAGATTTTACTTTTGATCGGTCTGGCAAAACAAATGGCTGTCTCATACACTGTGAAAGTGTTGGTGGTGGCTCATCGAGGTTTAATTGCTTAAAATAAAATAGGCCTATGCTTTCTCAGAGCTACATCAGAGATGTAAAGATTTACATGAACAAAAACTCATTTATACATTTATGGACATTTATTGACCGTGGTAACTGCTGTAAATGTAAATGTTCTGTGCGTCAGTGAGTTGGTTACGCACAGTCTATAACTTCATAAACCATGAATCGTGCTGATGAAGTCATTGTAAAGTCGATGATCATTGTAAAGTGGATTATCTTTACTCACATTCTGCTCCAGAAGAGACGTGGAGCGCGGTCCCAGCAGCCCTCGCGCCTTTTCTCCCGCCGTCAGAAACGAGTCCACAGGCGCGTCCCCGAGCAGAGCCGCGGGCGCGTCCCCGAGCAGCGCTGGGATGGAGAACAGGTAGCGCTCCCTCCGCGCGCTCTTCGCTTTCCTCCGCGGTCTGTACTTGTAGTCCGGGTGCTCCTTCATGTGCTGGACGCGCAGTCGCTTCGCTTCATCGATGTACGGCCGCTTCTCCGCGTCGCACAGCCGCTTCCACTCCGCGCCGAGCCGCTTACTGATCTCTGAGTTGTGCATCTTGGGGTCCTCCTGCGCCATCTTCCTCCTCTGACCCCGGGACCAGACCATGAAGGCGTTCATGGGTCTCTTGATGTGATCCAGAGGTTTGGCCATTGCGTAAATCACACCCCCTTTCCCTCTCTGCTGTCAGAACTCCATGGAGGCTTTGTGCGTAAAGACCAAATTACGCACCAAGAAGTTTACGCGCAAAGTTGATTCTCTGTTTTGTTTCTTTCTGTCCAAAGTTATTTTATGAAGCAGGAGAGTGGTCAAAGGTGCTGCGCCTGAATGGCATTCATAGAGCGCGAGGAGCCTTTTGGATGGAGCTGAGCCGCGAGGAGCCAATGGCGAAGAGAGTGACCCGGTAATCCCTTCAGTAAAAGTCACTTAAAGACGATAAGACTCCAAACATGTGCATTGTGGATGGACAGCAGCATCACGCCCCTCAATACTAACAAATACCCTTCGTAGAATAAACATTATTATTTTGTTCATTCACAGTTCATCAGTGTCGACTTCAGGAATAAAATAGCAGCTATTTGATCATTTATTTAAGCAAATTGTTTAGTCTTTTTTCTCCTCTTTGCTCAAATTTGAAGCATTTTTGACTTGTGTCATGCTCATTATCACAAAGAAAAAGTCTTTTGAGGCTGTTTTCTCATTTTCTCATTTTTGGTTTTATTTTGAAAAAATGAATGAACGAATGATACACAGATTTTACATGCACATCAAAAGTCACTGTCTGATTTCTGGTCTGGAGTGATCAGATTATTGAAATCCCACACGAGCAGCTACATGGGATGTGAGTAATCTGATTTCTTAGGGAGTGTTCACAGCTGTGCAGATTTTGACAAGAAATCAAAGTTTTCTTTGTTATACTTTGTCTTATAAAGAGTTAAACATCCACTGATTAACCGAGACTTGTCACCAGGGTTTTTGATAAGCAGCATTTTGTTTGTGTTTGTAAATTAGAGTTGTTGCAATACTAAAATTTCAAACTGGATTTCAATAGGAATAGACTCGATATTGATATTATAATGAAAAGACTAGACAATAGAATGTAATTTTTAACTCTAACTCCTAGTACTTTCTTTTATATTCCCACATGGTTTTATCTGTGTGTAATCCCTCAGTGGTCCAGGCAGGTTCCATTCGTGTGTATATTAATGGTTTTATACTTGTTTTGATACAGATCAAGATCATTCTAAAGCTGTTCAGATTTTACCTGTAGTATAGATGAGTGTTTGATTTTTGATACTTTTGACAACCATAAATAACGGATTTTAGTTTTTTTCAGACTATGTAAATGTACCTGATAAACCGTGTGTCATTCATTCATTTGTTTTTCAAAATAAAACCAAAAATAAGAAAACGAAAACACATTATTTGTCTCCAAACCCAAACTGAAAAAAAAACGTGACTTAAACTGCGATGCCGGACTGAACCAGGACTGAATCCGGGACCAGGACCAGGACTGAGTCCAGGACTGAGCCCGGGACTGAGACTAGACCTGAAACCAAGACTGAGACCAGGAACAGGACCAGGACTGAGAGGGGACTGAGACTGGGACCAGACCAGGACTGAAACCGGAACTGAGACCAGGACTGAGACTGAGACCGGAACCAGACCGGGACTGAAACTGGGACCAGACCAGGACTGAGACCAAGACTGAGACCTGGACTGAGATCAGGCCTGAGACCAGAACCAGACCAGGACTGAGACCGGGCCTGAGACCGGGACCAGACCGGGACTCAGAGCAGGACTGAGACTGAGACCGGAACCAGACCGGGACTGAGACTGGGACCAGACTAGAACTGAGACCGGGACTGAGACCAGGACTGAGGCCGGGACCAGTCCAGGACTGAGACTGAGACCAGAACCAGACCAGGACTGAGACCAGAACCAGACCAGGACTGAGACCAGGACCAGACCAGGACTGAGACTGGGACCAGACCCGGGACTGAACAAGGTTTAGTCTGGTTTAGTCCTGGTTCAGTCCGTATGCGGCGCAAAAGTTCAGCATCGCAGTTTAAGTCACGGAAACGGGAAACGGCCATTATCAGTTTTTTCCATTATTCATTTAAACACAAAATCTAAATCTGAACAACCAAATCATTATCCATTTTTTCATTTGGTTTTGGAGACAAATAATGAAGAAAATGGGTATTTTTTCATTTTCTTATTTTTGGTTTTATTTTGAAAGACGACTGAACAAATGACACAAGGATTCCTGATGTCTCTCACTTCCTACCTAAAATCTCTTTCTCCTCTTTGATGTAATCTTGCTTTTGTTTTTGTCTCGGCCCTGTCTTCTCTGCGTTTAATCATCCTCTCCGTGTGAAGGTATGGGCCTCTGGTGTGAGCTCCGGAGATAACAGCCACCCACGGGACCCTGCCTCCGGACCACCCCAGCACCCTGAGCCTAAGCCCGGGTCTGGGGCGGGTTTATCATCTCCGTGAGCCTCGCTGGATCCTTTGTGTGAGCTGATCCGCTGTTTGAGGAGCCCTGTGGAGTGTGCGATTGTGAGCAGTAAATAGAATAAAGCCCTCCTCTATGGCACAGCGCTGATATGTGCTGCTCGGTCCACCTCTGTCCACCTCTGCACTGTCAAAAGCCCCTTATGGGACTTTAAGGTGGATCTGTTACTTTCCACCTTAAGACATATTTTGCTACTTCAACTTTTGTGAGCTTTTATTGTGTCATTTTGTAAAATTCACAAGAAAAGGCATAAACATTTGTGTCATTGTCAAGCCCGCCGAGCTAAAGGGTTTGATCTGAGCTCCAGCCTCTGCCTGCTGTTGGTGTGTCCTTGAGCAAGTGTGAGTTTGATGGTGGTTATTGGTGGTGATCAGAGAGATTAAAGGCACAGATTGGCAGTGTTGGGGAGTAACGGATTACATATACTGGCGTTACGTAATCAGAGTACAAATTATGAGTAACTGTATTCCGTTACAGTTACTGTTTCAATGAGTGGTAATTAGATTACAGTTACTTTGCTGAAATAAGTGGATCACAAGGCGGTATTTTCCTGTTTTCACATTCTGTACTACCTCCCATTTATGTATTTTTTTATTTCAGTAATTCCACTCATTGCCGGACACCCACACAGCCAGTAGAACAGAGTCAGCAGTGCACAGGTAAAAACACATTTGTGTCTTGGAAATTCTTCTCCCGATGTGATATATATATATATATATATATATATATATATATATATATATATATATATATATATATATATATATATATATATATATATATATATAGCTAGCAGTAGCTCCGGTTTGACATTTAACTTGTAGGTGATTATGTATATATATATATATATATATATATATATATATATATATATATATATATATATATATATATATATATATATATACATAATCACCTACAAGTTAAATGTCTAACCGGAGCTACTGCCACTGATGAAAACAAACTGCATGATATCTGCAGTACTGTCCTATAGTGACCTGCCACACGAGGGGACGCGGACACAAACACACACAAACACAAACACACACCTTCATTATCGTCATCAACCTGAGAACGCTCGGACCACGTCTCCTTCCGTAGTTACTGCACGGACACCAACGTCCTCCCGTGCGCCGCGTGTGGATCGTGTTTTCTCGCGTACGCTGCGTAGATCGCGCTCCCTCCTGTGAGCCTCTAAAACCAGGACTAAACTAGATCTAAACCAGGTCTAAACCAGGACTAAACTAGATCTAAACCAGGTCTAAACCAGGACTAAACCAGGACTAAAACCAGGTCTAAACCAGGTCTAAACCAGGTCTAGACTAGATCTAAACCAGGTCTAAACCAGGACTAAAACCAGGACTAAAACCAGGTCTAAACCAAGTCTAAACTAGATCTAAACCAGGTATAAACCAGGACTAAACCAGGACTAAAACCAGGACTAAACTAGGACTAAAACCAGGACTAAACCAGGTCTAAACTAGATCTAAACCAGGTCTAAACCAGGACTAAACCAGGACTAAAACCAGGACTAGACCAGGACTAAAACCAGGACTAAACCAGGTCTAAACTAGATCTAAACCGGGTCTAAACCAGGACTAAACCAGGACTAAACCAGGACTAAACCAGGACTAAAACCAGGATTAAACCAGTACTAAAACCAGGTCTAAACTAGATCTAAACCGGGTCTAAACCAGGACTAAACCAGGACTAAAACAGGATTTAACAGGATTTAACAGGACTAAACCATGCTGGGCGGACGTGTCTCTTCCTCTTCTATCAATAATATTTTTAATATGGTTAAGTATCCCAGTTTTTGCTTCTCTACAGCAAATCAAGTAATCCAAAGTATTCAGATTACGTTACTCACTTTAAGTAATTTAATGGATTACGTTACAAACTACATTTTGGGGTATGTAATCTGTAATCTGTAGGGGAATACATTTTAAAAGTAACCTTCCCAACACAGAAAATATATAATTATTGTCAAGCTGTATCTTGCAGGGGTTAGGAATAATACAGCTACATGGGATGTGAGTAATCTGATTTCTTAGAGAGTGTTCACAGCTGTGCAGATTTTGACAAGAAAGCAACATTTTCTTTAATATATTTTTAAAGAGTTAAACATCTATTGATTAACTGAGACTTGTCACCAGGGTTTTTGATAAGCAGCATTTTGTTTGTGTTTGTAAACTAGAGTTGTTGCAATACTAAAATTTCAAACTGGATTTAGACACGGATATTGTTTACCTCCGGAGGTCTCGGAGTTGCAATGTATCTATAATAATTGTAGTTCTATGGGAGTTGTTTAGAAGTGACACCGAGGATGAAGAATTGAATGGATTTAGTGATTTGGAGAGAGATGGAGAGTTTGGTGAAACTTGTTCTGTTCTGTTGTTTATGTTAAAGTTATCTGAAGAACTGTTCATATGCAGTGTTGGGAAGGTGACTTTTAAAATGTATTCCCCTACAGATTACAGATTACATGCCCCAAAATATAGTTTGTAACATAATCCATTAAATTACTTAAAGTGAGTAATGTAATCTGAATACTTTGGATTACTTGATATTGTCATGTTTTTTTTTAAAACTACATGAATTTACCAACCACATCCTGAAAATTCTTGTTTGTTTT